AAAAAAAAAAAAAAAAAAAAAAACATATTAAAAGCTTGACTTCCTGGGCTGGGGATTTAGCCTGCCTTGCAAGCACAAGTTTCAATCCCTGGTACCAAGACAGACAGACAAACAAAAAAGTTTGACTTCCTAAAGCCTAGATTAGCTAGGCAGGAAATCATGCATTTTATTTATTCTTGCTTCTTATATACGCTGTCCTCTTCATGATTAACTTTGTAGGATTTATATCCATATTGTATATAGCTTACATTATTCATTGTCATTTTCGTGTAATATTCCAGCGTGTGAATTTATATATTTTTGAGTGTGTTGTTAGACCTAGTTTTTACTAAAGTTCCCAGAGCTTTGATGCTTTAAAATTCTTGCAGTCTGTCTTCCCAATACAAACAAGAAATGTTAAACAAGCAAAAAAACCTGATCTCTTTGAGCTGATGAACTTAGCATTTGATATTGTACGTTAGTGAAGATCATAAGAGCTAAGATTTAAATACTAGAGGGCCAGGGATTTAGCTCAGTGGTGCCACCACCTGTCTTGCAAGAGCAAGGACCCCAGTTTGAATCCTGGTACCAATAAATAAAAAAACAAACAAACAAGCAAGCTAGAGTTTACAACTTACTAGCTAGATGATCTTAGGCAAGTTAGCACATGTCTCTGAATCTCTCTTTCTTTCTGGTACCAGGGATTGAACTCGGGTCCTTATGCTTGCAAGGCAGGCAGCACTCTAAATCTCTATTTCTGTATCTGGAAATGGTATAATAATATCTGCCTATCTAATCTAGAGGGTTTGCTAAGGATCACACTAAACAATGTATAAGACAATAGGTAGTATGTACATAAAGATATAAGTAGATGTTTTTATATAATTAGCAATTGCAGCTGTTTACAGTGTCAACCTATATCAAGCCTGAAGGTGAAATAAAGTAAAAATGATGATTTTTTTATGTTTAGGCACGATTATTTGATGAACCTCAGCTTGCAAGTCTCTGTCTAGATACAATTGACAAAAGCACCATGGATGCAATCAGCGCAGAAGGGTTTACTGATATCGATATTGGTGAGTGCCCCATGAACCAAACTTACATGTTTAAGTACAAAAATGAGTAACTTCTTGGCCTTTTTGGAGAACAGAGTATATATTTAAATTATATATACTCCAAATGATTGACATCTACTGTCTTAAATCTTTTCTCATTGCTGAAACACAATACCTGATACAAACAATTTAAAGGAGGAAAGCTTTCCTTTGGCCCACAGTTTGTATAGGTTTCAGGCCCTATTTGGCTGGCTTCACAGTAGGGTGGCAGAGGGGTATGGCACAGGAGGAACAGCTCATGGTGTGGCAGATAGGAAGCAGGAAGGTTCAAAGGAGGAGGAAGGAGGTATGTATTTCCAGGCCACACCCACAATGACCCACCTCTTCCACCTGGCTTTACCTCCTAACATCACATCCAGCCATAAACTCAGTTGACTAACCTAGTGAGGAGTATCATACCCCCCTCTCTTTTTCGATCCATTCACCTCCCCAAAGACTCACTTTTGAGGATATAAGGCTTTGGGGAAACAAATAATGTAAACCACAATATCTGCTTTTTTAATAATTTTGCTTTCTTTTGTTTTGGGGAAAATATGCCTAAAACTCCTATTTCATTGCTTTTGTTTATTTATATTAACTGGGATTGAACCTATGGCTGTCAGCCTGAGCTGTATCCCCTAATCCTTTTTATTTCTCTTTCTCTTTTTTTTTTTTTTTTTTTTTTTTTTTT